CCCCCCCCCCCCCCTGCTTTCGAAAATTAATGGGAAAAGGGCTGTTTACGCCCCCCTGCTTTTGAAAATTTCGTTTTTTTGCTCACCAAAATAGAAAAAAAATTTACGCCCCCCCCCTGCTTCCAAAAGTTTCATTTTTTAGTTCATGAAAACAGAAAAATTAGAGCTACGCCCCTGATAGTTCATTACATTTTATAAGTCAATCTAAATACCTATAGTTCAAATACAGAACTATTCATTCAAATTTAAAGAAGTAAAACTTGAATGAATTTTTTGTAATATATAATTAAAATTATTCTGATAAATTAATAATTTATAAAACTAAGAAAATAAACCTAGGCTCGATAACTCGTTAAAAGCGTTTTGCTTACATTATCCTTCATGCTACGACACTTTTATTAATTGCATAACTCGTATGTATTTTTCTGGAAATATCATTCGAAAAATAAACAAGCACATGAAAACTCATGACATCGCCTACGAGTAAATCTACGGAGAAAAACTCATATAATTATGCATTGAAAGTATTTGAACATGAACAAATTCCTGGAATACTCATATCTGTATTTTGACTACACGTATTCATCACAAACCGATGCGTACTTGATGCATGTTTTCATTGTCCATATGAACCAGAGACGTGCACAGGACAGGACGGTCCTGCTGTCTCGGTGTCCTGTCCTGTCCTAGAGGACAGGATGAAACTTAGATTTTTGTCCTGTCCTGCCGCCCGCCAGGACCAAAGTAGCTAGCAGGACAGATGAGGACTGGACAAAAAGTCTTGTCCTGTGCACATGCATATCTATGTTCTACATATTGTCGTATGACACATGAAACGGTTACTGAGTGATAGATATCGCTATACGAATGAACTATCACATTAATTTAAACATTAGTCGAAAAAAAGTACCGAATCAGATTTAATCATCAGTGATTCAAAAATTCTTATTCAGAATACAAAGAGAAACAACGCGAAACAGTTGTTACTTATCTCTTCTAGCATTATTTTTTTCATTTTTTATAACATTTTCTTTATTTAGATTCGCCTTTTTAAATATATATTTAGTATGATTCCTAATGAAATTTCTTCATCAACTCCACTAAAATCTTAAAAAATTAAACTTTTGCTTAAACATGAACCCAAAAAATATAAAGTAATAGAAACCTAAGATATTTTTCTACTGTATTTTATTTATAAATAACTGATAATTTAAAGTAAATTTGTTGTATTTGAAAATGATATCAAATAAATTAAGTCTAAGATTACTAATAGTAATATTTACTTTGGTCAACAACAGCTAGAGTTTGGAGTCCAAATTTTGGGCTCATAATTAGTTTTCAGTCACTAGCAAAATCAAAATAAATCAATAACACCAACCAGGACTTTAACGCATTGTCCTGCCGCCCGCCAGGACCGAGGTAGCCAGCAGGACAGGTGAGGACAGGACAACAAATCTTGTCCTGTGCACGTCTCTGATATGAATCTTAGAAATGATCTTGACCGAACTATTTTGTAACAACAACAACAACAGTGATATGATATCGTTAGTAGTGCATGCTCATCTAATTTTCGTAAAAGTCTCAATACAATGATCTATGCTTACAACTATTAATGCACTTGACAGTTGCAGGTCAAATTTTAAGTGCACAATGTTTCGATAAAAGCAAAGTAGAAGTGTAACTAATGCAATCAGCATATTAAATCATGGCATCTTTTTTTAAGGCCATTCTTTTTATCCATGCCCGCGTCTTACTACTGCAGCAAATATAAGAATGAAAAGATTAGAATTGCTCTGGGATATTTGTGGCATTGTTCCGCGTGGCGTTTTATCTTGATTATATTGACTATAATTTGATAGATAAATCGCTAAAATTTGGACCTTGTGAATAGAAATAAGTGAGAATCAGCATGGTAGATGAAACAAGTGGATTTCACCATATTGAATTTCATACAATACAGCCCAATCATACACTTGATGTACTCGTACGTATATATGGTTTTCAAATAATTGCTCAACGTACTACATTAAATTATTCTCAATGGTTTCTTAAATCTTATGAATGTCAATTATTAATTTCATCTGTATTAAATTCAGATCTAAACGATGAAATCATTTTAACTAACAACTATTATGATATTTTAACTCCAATAATTCGTAACTCAACAACTCGTGATTTGATTCTTGATCGTGATACAGTGTTCAATATTGCCCTTCATGTTAAATCTATTCAATCGATTCTCGATAAGAATTCAGATGTGCAAGTGAGATATTTTGTTCTGAGATCTTCTCCTGATTTTCATTGGCTCAATTCATTGAGTACAGCTTTTTTTAAATATGTAAACTCTCATATGCCTATCTTCCTTCACCTAACCACGAAGACGAGTGTGATGAAAGAGAAACTCGTTGGTCATAAAAGAACATATCTTCTCAGCGTTTTGCATACTAATATTGACAGTATTTATTATATCGTATTGCTTTATTAAGGTACTCGTATCGCTTCGACAGGCCATCGATGAATATGGATCGATAGAATATGCTTGTATTAAATCATGCATTGGAAATGTGATTCATACATTGATTGATGCATCTCAATATTTAGGGCCCTGTCTACCAGGTTTTACACAAGTATCAATCTCGAAACAAGACGGATTTACTCCGTTGATGATTCATGGCATTGATCATATTGCATTTGCTGTGGAAAAGCATTCAGCATTATCAAGTATTGCTTGGTACGAAAAAGTGTTCGGTATGAAACGGTTTATAGTTAATCGGTAAGATTTTTAATAATACTTTTTCGAATGATAATGAACTAATTGCTGTAGAGAGGACGATCCATTTCAAGGATTTACTGTACGTCTTGGTACAGTCGGTATGCGTCTATTCGCTAGTGAATTTTGGAAATGTGCTGAAACAGCTGTTGTCAACGAGAAAAAGTCAAATGTAAAATTGGTTTTTGGTGAATCGTTGATAGAAAATGGTTCTGGTAAATGTTTGTACTCAATTTTAGCAAATAACTTCAGATAGTTTTTTCTTAGGTTCATCAGATCAAATAACAACTTTTATACGTAAACACAAAGGTCAAGCTGGTATTCAACACATTGCGTTCACGTGCGTCGACAATATAAAACATGTTGTACTTATAGCAAAAGCAAATGGTGCTCAGTTTCTATCTCCCTTAGCCGATTACTATCGACAAGTAGGATATAAGTTAATATTTAAATTATTCTTATTTTTTTTTGTGGAACTCACATATATTTTCGAAGAAAATAGTGAGTGTAAGTTGAATTGTTAGGTTTTTGCGGCTCCCCTGTACCCCACCCCCCCCTCTCCATTACAGAGATAAAACATAAAAAAACTAACACTTCGGTGCACTAATTAGATAAAATTTTTATACAGATGGATTGCCTATGTTCACCACTACTCACATCACTAATAAAAATCTAGTTTCACTAATTAGAAATCATTATAATTAGGATTTAGCCTCTAATTAATCATCAAAATCTGTCGTTTTTATTATTATAGTCCATAGTTACGATAATAGCGCATATTTTTATTATTATAGCCCATAGTTACGACAGTATTATATTTTATTATTATTAAAGACGTTCGCAACCAGTGTATGCTACCGCTACAGAAGCTAGTAACTAGTTTATGCTACTATTACATTCGTTACTTCTACCACCTACAATAAACAGATGAAGATTTTAATCCTTTTTTTCTCACACGAATACCTTATTCTAGAGCTTGAGTCCACTTTAGTGTATTTACAATTCGGAACTTTTCCATCCACTGGGAAGTTTTTATCAAATTTTCGTTTATGAAAAAATGTATCAATTTCTCACCTGGTAAGACGAAAAAATATAAATTTCTCAACAATATTGACAGCTATATCATAAATACTGTTTAAACTATTATCATTCACAATATTTCTCAATGAAACCACTAAACACTTCAGCATACTGACATATTTTAAACAAAAAGTTTTTCATACGTTCTCTCTAGTAATATTCCCTATCGATAGATCCAATAAACTTCAAATGTTAAAAAGGTTTTATTATCTTGTTTTTGAACAAAATATGATCTCACTACACTGAAAAAATAAAACTTCTATTTGATCAGTGTCTAATTGATCGAAATATGTGAGTTCCACATTTTAGCCCCAACGGGGCTGCGCTGACAATCTTTTTCTATGAAGGAAAATAACGGTCGTAAGATTGAAGAAGCTGGCGAAAATGTTAGTGAACTAGCTGAATTAGGAATTCTATTGGATGATGAAGCTGATGATTGTAATAGATTATGTTCAAATAAAAGGTAAATATAATAAAGAAAATATTTTTCTTGTATGTTTTGTTTTTCATTTATTAGAATTCTCTTACAAATCTTTACAAAATCAATTTTTAATAATGATACATTCTTTTTGGAATTTATTGAGAGACGTGGTGCAACAGGTTTCGGTGCTGGAAATATTCGAATTTTGTGGAAAATTGTTCAACAACAAATCAATGGTGAAACATAGTTTGGACTTTGTTGTTTTTGTCAATTAGAGTTTCTTTTCATTTATTGCAACACTAATATTTTCTTAAAAGAAGGAATCAGAACAAGAAATAAAACATACACAACAATTTACACATATTAATATCAAATTTTGGCACGAGTCTTATCTAATTATAAATAGAAGTGAATGACGCTTCCTATGTATTAGTGTTTCCGTCATTTCAGCTAATGTTTTTAACAGCTTACCTTAAGTCATCGCCAAAACCGACTATCAAGCTTGAGTTTGAAGTCAAGTACTCGTGCGTACGTATGTAGACATCTATCAAATAGCTTGCTCAATTCTGATTGATGTCTGAATCGAACCAATAGTAGACTTTCATAAACATCAATTGATTAATCGATCAGTACAGTAAATTCTATGAAAAATATTCATGGCTGCAGCTATCGAAGGAAACACTAGTAGATCTCGCCGACCTGAACTTTTAAGTAAAATTGATATTGAAGTCAATGTAAATGATGCTATATTACTTACAACGGAGGACGGTCTATTGACAGCACTTGATGATAGGTATTTAGTTTAGATACAATCTCTTATTTGAATAGACCATCTATATTTAGAACATTACGTATCTGGATACGACGAGAAACCGGTAAATATTGGCCATCGGTTTGTTATACATTAGAAAGTAATTGAATAAAAAGCTGTTTTTTTTTGTCTCTTCATAAGTGGATAAATTTGTGTGTTTTACTCTAGGTGCACCAACAGCACTTTTCTATCATGAAGCATCTCATCGTCTTTTTTGTGGTTGTGATACAGGCCTTCTTCATGTAAATTTATATCTTATCGCAATAGTTTATCAAATATTTTTATTTTTATCTTTGAAGGAGTTTCTTGTCGCCGAGGATTACAACAAAATAACACTTCAATGTACTTATCTGGGTCACCAACAACGTATCCATGCATTGCATTTTTCATTACAAAATGAAATGCTATTAAGTGTTTGTCGTGAAAAGAAGCTAAATTGGTACTCAACAAATCTAGCAGAGGACAATCATCAACAACCACGGGCTAGTTATCCTTTATCAGCATGGGCTTTATCGATTGCACTTGATGAATTAACTCGACAGTGTTTTATTGGTGATTCGAATGGCAATATACAATTTCTTCGAATAAATATTGATAAAAAATTTCAATTAATTACAACTTTATCGGGTCATACAGGTAGTCGATTCAGTAGAATTAATTTGTAAAATAATAACATGGAAAATCCTTTTGTTCAGGAAGTGTTCAAACACTTTTATGGGAATCGGAAATTCAATGGTTGTTTTCTGGCAGTTTTGATAGATCCATTGTTGTTTGGGATATAGGAACCCACAAAGGTGTTGCATTAGAATTAAATGGTCATAGTGATCGTATCGTTGGAATCTCATATGATAAATTACGTAAAATGTTAATAACATGTTCAGCCGATGGAAATATTGGCGTATGGCCAATGAATGCTAAACGTAATGAAACTCCAAAATGGTTAGACAGCGATCATTGCCAGATATGTCATCTGCCATTTTTTTGGAATATAAATGCCATGTGGAAACAAAAACAAATTGGATTGAGACAAGTGAGATGACGATTGATTTAGTTTAGAATATTGATGATTGTCTTTTTCTTTTTCTCCTTCTCCAATAGCATCATTGCCGTAAATGTGGTCGAGCTGTATGCGATACATGTTCAAAAACACGTACAAAAATTCCATTAATAGGTTATGAAACACTTCAACGGGTTTGTAATGATTGTGGAAAAGCATTAAAACCTGAAGAGTAAGTAGTTCGAATTTTGTTTTACGATGATGATGATTTATTTTGTTTTGGATAGAACGGCTCCACTTGCTGCTTTTTATGAACTACGTCAAGGAACTATTAAAACGGATTTTCTTCAAGCAAAAAAAATAATGATGACTATTGGAACGGACCGAACAATTAGAGTAAGAAAATTAATATTGGATTAGGCTCATTCTATCGATCTAATGGTTGATAAGAATCATTTCTCTTCTCGATAGACTAATTTTAGTAGATATAGATATAAACTTGTATTCTTCTCGAGTTTTCTTCCTATTCTCAACAGCATTCAGTTACTCTAAGTATAAAAATGAACCATATTTACTCTTTAGTAAGCATTTGTTCATCGTACATAATTTGATCAAAACTATTGCAGTTTTTCTAATCCTCAAAATGAAAGAAAAAACGTTTTATCCAATATATGAATTTAAATCGATTCGAATAACTAAAACATACGAATAAAGTTCTTTCATCCATGTGTAAATAGTTTCAAATGAATGGTGTATACTATTTAGAAATAGGTCTTTCAGTCGATTATCAATGTAATGTTATAGGGCTTGTTCTGATTGGCAGAAGATTTTGTTTCGATGTTGTATATCAAAAATTACCTGTCAAATACCAACGATTTTGCTTGTTATTTATAAGTAGCAATCTTATGTTGACGATATTTTCTTTTTCTCTTGTCGTTGAATACTTCACCATGTGTTGTTTTTTTCTATCATGGTTATGCTTTTTCGATTAGACTAATATGATGAGAAATATTGCATACCACAAAGCTTGCTTATAGGAAAAATATTGATGATGCTTGTCGTTTTACTTTGATTTTCTATTTCATGCCAAAGCTCATCATTTATAGAAATGAATCAAGTAAACAGCTGATCATACATCAATGTACAGTAGAGTCGTGAGAAATAGCCGAGAAAAGTATTGGCTTGTCAGCAGCTTCGATTTGTATCATTAAATGTAGCATATATGGAAAAACAATGTTTATACTAGTATAATTTTCTTACCAGAATTCATTGTTTAATGTATGCTATGAAAAAGAATGAATTTTAAAAATATCAATTATCATAAATTGAGAAAACTACATAGTATAAGGTGTGGGTTTTGTTTTATATTATTTTTATTCGACATCACGTTCGACATTTGCAATAGTATAGGATTTATATTTTGTTTTCTAAGCATGATACGATTGTTGAATTAGTCAATTTGATTGTGTAATTAATATGATTTGCATTGATTCTCTTTTAGATATGGAATATGTCATCGATTTTATAAATTAAAGCGAACGATAACAAGATTTCAGTTGTCATATCGTACTTTCTTTTTTCATAATCAACATTCAATACATCATCCTTATTTATTTTAAAATGGAGCTGTTGTCTTTGATATATTTATTTATTTTTCTTCTTTAAAACTGTTGTCTTGTAATAAAAACTAACATTTTCCGCGTGTTCATTGTACATTAACGTCGCCTAAATAATAAATATTTCTCAAAATACATAATCAAATAGACCAAATGTTTAATATTTTATTTCAGATCATGGAACAACAGAGTACTAGTGAAAAAGTTGTAGTTACTGCTTTGTATGCATTTAAAGCGCAAAATACAGATGAAGTAGGTTGTCTTTTCGTTGTTTGTTATTGATTAAAATCATAAAACAGACATGTTCGATAATAATAATAATAATAATAAAGAGAGAGAGAAAGAACAATCATAATAACATTTTTATGTTTAGTTGTCCTTTGCTAAAAATGACATGATTGTTTTAACACAAGCTCCTGTTGATGGTGGTTGGTGGGAAGGTACATTGAATAATAAAACTGGCTGGTTTCCATCCAATTATGTCGAACAAGTTGTTAAAAAAGCAGGTAATAAAATTAAAATAATCCACTGATTAGTTTATATTCCGTTGAATATACAAACAATACCGCGACTATTATAAATAAACATTACTAATAGTATTGATATCTGTCATCAAACTGACAGAGAAGGAATCAATTTTGTTTTCTTGTATGCATTCGACAGAAGTCTTTCTCGTTATCATTCCTTCTCAAATAGTAACAACATAGTTATTATTATCATAATCATTCAACAATGAGATCGACGGGCTGTATATCGTGCAAACTATTTACATGTAAAACAAGTATGTACCTAAATAGAAAACATTAGCTGATAGTTAGTATTCATGATCACCGAATATTCAATATTTCTAAACGAAGAAAAAAGACGAATCTAATCTGAGCGTAGTGAATTTTCTAAAAAATTTTATCTTTAGATTCGTCATCATCGCTTCAAAGTAGAAATTCACAACAATGTGCGGAAATGTATCAAAATCGAGAAACAGTTAGTAAAGTTAAAATAAATTTTTTATCATATAAAATCCTAATTTGTTTTCTTGGTTAGATATTTTAAGAAGAAAATTATTTTCCCTCGCACGATGCGTATCTCCAAAATGATTAATCGCTTTTCATCCGTGACTACATACGCCATGTAGACTCGAATAATTTATGAATACTGTAGAATGAGCTCGGTCTTGTAGTTGATTAGATAATTCCTCATAGAGAAAATTGATTTTGGAATTTTAATTTCAAACTTTGCAGAAAAATAAATCTTATCGTTGACAACATTCAATAAATCAATGTGTTTTCAAAAAATCAGTTTTCTCGAGAATTCAAATATCATATGTTTACATTAATAAACTGAAAACTTCAGTCCTATTCAAATTAATGCATAGCTCATGAGATTCTCTTGACTCGAAAATTAACTCACCATTAGTAAGATTCCGATTGTAAAACCAAGAAGTCATTTCTACGATTTTAAATAACTAAAATGTGCATTAATTTATTTAGATCATTCAAACATTAAATGAAAGTGAACAACATTATATATCTGACTTAGATAATTTCATTTTAAAAACACTTCAACCATTAGCTAATGCTCTTATAACGTAAGCCATAAAATTATCCATATTTATCAACCATTATGCTTTTGAAAACTTCCTGACCATAGATCAAACTCAACTCCTCTTCATTTGGAGTTTGATAGTCTTGATGAATTACTTAAATTCCATCATCATCTCTCTAATATGCTAAACGAATCCATACAGTAAAAACAAATTCATTTATTAGTTTTTTCTTCTTCAACGTTTTATTATATTTATTTTTCAAGATCACAACATTATATTGGTGTTCTATTCTCACAATTAGCTCCTGGTTTCAAGTCTATATTTGAAGCTTATTGTTATCAACATGCGAAAATACTTTTCTTATTTAATCATCATAAGTGAGCATGATAAAAAAAAAGACAATTTATTTTTCTATTATGTTTATTCTAAAACAGAGATCGAATTCTAAATGGTCTATCAAAAATTGATCCATATTTTGATAATAATACATATATTCAATTAATCAAAAATTTATCATTACCATTAAATCGTCTAGATAGATATGTTAGTTTTCTGAAAGAATATTTATACAATCTTGAAGTAAAATTTTCAAGTTTCCAAAACGACATTTATTTCTATTTTTTATTCTTTAAAAGGAATTCCATGTCGATCGTGGTGATACACAACGAGCAGCTGAATACTATACGGAATTGACTGTAAGAAAATCTAAGAAATAAAATTCTAGTCACCAAAAATAATATTCTTGTTTTTAGTCATTTGCAGCTGAATGGCGAAAACGCAAAGAATGGGAACTTGATATTGTAAATAGTAGTATTCATGGACTTGATACTGATGTAAAAGAAAATTTGTCATTTATTTTTATTTTCTTACAAAAATTTGTTTCGATTTTCAGTCATTAAAATCATATGGTGATGCGTTATGTATAAGTCCAGTTAATATTCTAACGGAACACAATGGTGCACCAGTGTCCTTGGAGCGTATAGCTATTCTTTATCCATCGACACTATTTCTTCTTTCAACTTCATCGAATCAACAAGAATATCATATTGAGGTAAACTAGTACAATATTGATTGAAGTAACAATAACAAATTACTATTCTATAGAATCGTTATCAAATAAATCAAATAACTATTAGTAAAATAATTGATATTAGCAAACGAGCTTTGAAAATAAATGGTATGATGAAATAAAAAAGGATAATAAGAAGAAATTTAATTAAATGAATATCTAGTTCCACTAAGTCCATCATTGGTTATAACTTATCCGAGTTCGACTGAATATCAGGAATGGTGTGAAAAATTGTATGCAGCATTAACGGCAAAATCGCATTCTCTACAACAAACACAAAGAGTAAATCATTTATGAATTTTTGTTTATTCACGAAATATTTTCTTTTTAGTCACAATTACCATTCAGTGGAGTGAAACCATCAAATATTGGAAATGTTCCTTTAAGACTTCCAATTAAAAGTCCACATTGGTCTAAAGGTTGTCTTCGGCCACATTCACCATTAAGAATTCTTCCTTCAACAGGAACATCAATTAGAACGGCTTCACCATTACCATTATCTAATCTTAATATGAATGAGATATCATCGAATTCAAATGAAAGTAGTTCAACGCGAACACTCAAGCGCTTCATGTCAATGAAAAAATCGAAAGCGCAGGAATTTCTTAAACGAGGTAAATAGTAGAAATCAACAAGTTGGGACTCTGGTCGATGATAAATTAGAACGTGGTTCGATCAGAATTTAGAAATGGAATGATTGATACTCCTATGAACAGAAATCAACACTAAGATTTCCAGCAGTGTTCAGACTTCCAAAAAAGGAAATTTCGGAAGTTTTGGAAATTTCAAGTACTTGTGTTCTAAATTGTTTGGTATTTCCCAAAATTATACAATTTCCGAAATTTCTGAAATTTCCAAAATTCTGTACAAAGCGAAATTTCCGAAATTACAGAAGATTCCGAAATTTCTAAACTTTCAAATATTTTCAAAAAATTTTCATTTGCTTTGCTATGTAGTAATCGAGTTGATGGAAGCTTCGGAAATTTCTGTAATTTCCTTTTTCGGAAATCTGAACATACCTCAAGATTTCATCAAATCCTACTACGGATTCGTTAATTTTAACATAAATTGTAATTTTTATTTTTTAGTGGAAACAAGCGAAGGTGATTCTCTACTACTATCTATTATTGAAGGTTACTGTATGACGACGACTAGTAGTGGAACAGCGATTACTACTTTAAATAATGTGATACCAAAGAAACGAAATTCAATTCAGGGAATTATTAATCGTACACAAAGTATTACACCTATGACAAATACAAATGTGTAAGTGAAGTCTTTGTTTTTTGTTTTGTTATCTATGAGTTTTGATTCAATTTTAATAGTGAAAGTCGAACAATGTACGAAATGTTATGTGAACTTCGTTTAGCATATAAATCACTTCAACAAGAACTTGACGAAGAAAGACGAGCACGCAAACAACTAGACAGTCAGATACAAAAATTGCTTCTTACGCCAGCAAAATGAGCGTTTACTAATAAAAATAGTTAGTTTGATTTTAACTTACATTTTGAAATATTATGTATGTGTGTGTTGCCGTTTTTTTAAAGTTTTATTTACAATTAAAACATGCACAGTATTACGTTTACAATTCTATTTAATCTTAACTGTTAAATTATTTGGTAAAAAACTAACATTTTGGAAAGTTTTCATACTCCCTTTTTTTTGTTAATTAATATATAGAGTTGAATTTACTAAAAGAAAAATTTTATACAATAAAACTTAATTTTTATTATTTGAAATATCGTTTGATTTTAATTTCATTGATGATGACTAAATGTAAATAGTAACCAAAAATATTTATCTTGGAATTTATTTTGAATATCATACAGGTGCTTGTTATATAAAGAAAGATGATATCTTATTTACTTATATCAGCACACTCTTCGTATCCATGTATTCGTCGAAATCAATCGATGACTAACGCGTGTAGAAAAGTTCACGAAGATTTGCAATCGCAAGTCTTGAAGTCGAATCATTAGTATGCTTACTATTTCAATGAACCAGTATAAACAATACAATCTACACATAGTCATTTTGGCACGGATCAGAGACTAATGTGCTCTTAAGAATCTCCTATTAATGGCTAATCATTTTCATAGGATTGCGATGTTGTGCAATACATTTTACAGTTCGTAAACTGATTTCATTTATTTCTGATGCCATTTAATAAAAACACTAGATCGTTTGACTTAATTAATTTTTATCATCGGCATAATCGTATACTTTTTCAAAGAGTCCAATTATTTTTCGAAATGATAATTGAATTCTATCATGTCGAAGCTGTTTTTCTTTCTTTTGGAAAAAAAATACTCTTGATGAATGTCAATGCTATTTATACTGAAATATAGCGCAATCTGAACTAATCAGGTATCATTAATTCTTGTTCCACACTAGAGATCATCAAAATAAATTTAGCTTAATTTCGACATTTGGAATACAATTACAAATAGTGTCAATCTACACGGAAAAGAAATCAAATTTGAAGTGAATCCTCGAAGGAACTTTAAGCCTTTCTTTAACACATCACGAGAGTTTATTGTGGTGACTACCAGTAATTTATGTCGCTCAAAAATTCATCTATGAGCTTCAATTAACTAGACAATGTTCTTCTTTTTTCCCTAATAATTTATGTCACGTCAATCTTAATCTATATTTTTGAAAATAATCCACAAGGATGATCATAAATAAACAATTCTATTTTAATTTTCAATCAATTTGCCTATCAGATATTTTTCTTGCATGATACAAGTGTCATCAATTTTCATCATCGTTCTAATGTTTTTCTTTTTAAAGAAATGTTGCATAAAACTACTTCTTTTTTTAATCCATAATATTAGTCATGCAACATACGTCAGTTCTATCATCAAATAATTGATACAATAGAACTAATCTTTTTATTGTCGTAGGTTTATACGCATACAACATTTTCATGTAATACATCAAATAAAATTTAAGTCAATTTTAGGAAATCAAGTACATATATTCTTTATTATAACGACGAGTCTGTAGCAAAATCGATGGGCGACTGAGTTAAATAGACCTATAGCTGACATGCTCTAATATTATGATTGTCTACTAATATGCAGTTCAATCGTGTCTTTGCGAATTCGTTCAACTAGTAAAATGCAAAATCTCTTGAAAATTGACATTTGATGAGGTAATTGATTCAAAGTAAAATTTTATGACTCATCTACTATATAGTGTATTCTATCAATAAATGTAAAACTGATCTACCAGCTTAACTTCAATTGACTTATTTATAAATTCAGTGCTGAATTTATATTTCAAGAGATATGCACTTCTTTAGAATCAACTCGTGTAATCGTCGTGTTGCTTGACTTCAGAACAAAAAAGTAAATCAAAGTATCGAATGTGACTGACTTATTTCTATTTACACTATGAATGACAAAGAAAGAAACAACATCATAAAAGAATATTCAACATAGTGTACCATGAATATAAGGTGGCGGTGGTGAATAATGGCTAGATGGACTTTCTAAATTAATATAAGTATGTCGAGGAATGAAAGTTGGAGATTGTCGTCTATTTGGATAGAAATAACTTTCAACTTCACGATCACAAAGTAAATCATCCAATGAATCAGATGTATATTGTTGCTGTAGTAAATGAATAGATGATCGGCGATTCTGTTGCTTTTGGGATAAATATATTGAAGAATTATCAGGCATTTTAGGTGTCATAACAACAGAAGATATAGAGTGTCGTTGTTGCAACTGTGGTTTTTGTTGTTGTTGTTGTTGTTGTTGTTGTTGTTGCATAAGTGTTAATCCGTATGAATTCATTAGCATATCTTCATTTTTTATTTGAGAAGGTTTTGAATGAAAAAAATATTTTTTTGTTGCAATAATAGTAGATGTTGAAGGTGAAAACCGGTAGATTTGTTGTGGTCGACGATTGATTGGAACATTTTCTTTGTTATTACTATAAGTACTAGTGACAGTATTAGTAGTATTGTGTTCATTAGGACCACCCACAGTTCTCCGACGTGAAAAATCAATTAAACGACGACGATTCGATTGTGTTACTAGATTTTGTGTTGGTTCTTCCGTTAAATTTGTACGAGAATAATAATGAGTTTTCTGTGGTGTCATTCTTTCGGACATTCCTTTCGTAAGAATTGATGATGTAAATGATGCTGCAGGGGATACACTTCTTTCATATTGTTTTTGTTCAATTACTGGTCGATTTAATGTCGCAACCAATGATGTACTTCGTCTCGGCATTCGAATAGATGACAGATTTTTCTTCATGATAACTAAAATATACAATAAATGTACTATGTATATGAATATTTACTTTGAAATTACTGCTTCTATTACATACAGCTTTCTTTTCTTTTTATTCTTCGAAATCATTAGTGTTTATAATATGAAAATAGAGGCAAGAAAGAAGTGAGACGCCGACTTAGAGACTAAGAAAGGAAGCCTAGTAATGTATTAGAAAATAAATGTAAATAAAAAGAGCACATTTAAACGAATTTTGTACGCAAATCTTTTACGTATGTAATATTGAATCAAAACAGAAAAGAACGAGTAGGCGACATAGAGAAAAAAGAGGAGAGTAAAGTTTAAGTCATTACATGATTCATAGATGAATGAGTTATTCTAATGAGTTAAAGCAAACACTTTTGCTCGTTGCCATAACAAGTAATGAAAGTAACAGTATAGAATCGTTTATATTTAATATTGATGAAACTAATACTATTTTATAGAATATAAAATATGATACAGTGAAATCTGATAAGACGTCGAAAAAAAGTGGAAACTATTCGAGTTAGTTAATCGAAAAACTTGCTTCTATTAGAAGAAACCCTATTTTTAAATTGAAAGAATGAAAGAAAAGAAAGATCAATTAGTACAACATACGTCGTCTACGTTGTTTGTCTTGCCTTGACTGACTTTTTCAACAAGCACTCCAGCCTCCAACACAATTTTGATTTTGTTCGTGAGTTGTGCTGTTCGTTTCACCTTGCTTCGTCTTCTTTCTCTTTTGCTTCATGTTCTTTATCCATCTTCATTTTTGCGTACTCGCCTTTCATTTACCTAGTTGTTCTCTCTCTCTTTGTGTTTCTCCTTTATTTCTCCTAACATACATACAGACACATACGGCAGTCAAGCAACAAACATTTGTGTCTTATTGTATATCACTATCAACACTCATAGATATGAGTCAATTGTTGATGTTAAAACGGGTCGAATATTCGAAAGAGAGAGAGAGGGAGAGAAAAAAAGAAGAAGAAAGAAACGAATGAGACTCAAGCATAAGCACGGTATGGGATATTATTTAAATGGCAAAAATGAATCTATCATACTGAAGTGTTTTTTTAAACACCGAGTGACCTTAGCAAGAGGAAACAGAAACATGATCTTACTTTGATAATCAACATTAAGAAGAGAAGGTGATATTGATTGTTCTTGAAACTCGTCAATAAATATGAATTCATCAGAATCTTCCTCGTCTTCTTTTTGTGTCATACTATCGGTATAATTGAGCCATGCAGAAATTTTCTCGAAATTGGTAACTCTTGCAGTATAAGGTTCAGCATTTGGTTTATAATAGTACTTGGATTTTATTGGTGAATTATGATAATACGTAAATGGAATTGCTATTGTATTATTTGTTGTTGTTGATGATGATGATGATGATGGAAGGCCATAATATGCTGAATAATGATCAAATGTACTTGTTGATTGCATTCCTTTTGGTGTTGTTGAATGTTTAAGTTTAGATTTCGGTTTCGGTTTCGGTGAAATAAAAAAACTTTTTAATTTACTAATAATATTTTGAAAACCTAAAAGAAATTAAATGCTTTAATCATACGTAACTACGTATATATGTGGGATAATTATTTAGGAAAGTGTAGACAAAACAAACGTGCGTGTGTAAGCGATGCGCTTGTAACTTCTTTTGAGGACAAATCTAGTGACAAGGTTAATGCATTAGTGGCGTCTTTTGCTTTTTCCTTATTGTCAGAATATCGAGTCGTTGATAGATATACTAGTTAGACGGGGGCGAAATACATGCGAAAAATAGGCATTGCCATTAAAAAAATACAACGAAATAGCTAAAGCGTAGATGATTTCTTTGGCACATGTCATTTTTTTTGTTATCGCTTACCTTTTGATTTTGTTTTATGTTGATTACAGGTTATTGACGATGATGATTTTCTAGTATTCCTAGTCATAATAGCTGAAGTTGATGAATCACCCGTAGAATAGCCGCTTGATGTTGTTGCTATTGTAGCAGGTGATAAAGTGCCTGAAGTCGACAGTTTTAGTGAAGCTTGAAATTTTGTCTCTTTCAAGAATGCATGATGATGACGTTGACATTCTTTTGATATCATTTTTCTAAATATTATCTATAAGAAATATTAGCGATAAATAGAAGATTCGCTATTTTTTAAAGTATATTAAACAGTAACAAGCAGCACATAAAAAAATAGAACGATAGGACAAAAAGAAACAGTGCTCTATGAAGGAGAACACTTGAAAACCAGTGAAAAGAAATGCTTAATTTACCTAGCTTCCTTTTCTTTAAAAATTCAATCGTTCTATAGTCACGATGCATAAATATATATTCATTATATGTTCATCTGTTCTTTTTTAATACCCTCTGTATGCATATACAAGTAGTATATATTGCCTTTAGACAAGCAAACTACTCGAATAACTATTTCGTTACTCATTCATACGTTCAGGTTATGTTACGCTCATAATTGATGGCTGGCGACTTTGATCGTGAGAACCGAAAAGAACGAATATTTGAAAGTAACAGAATAGCTTACTCTAGTTCTCGTTCATTTATGTTGCGTTACTAACGGTCGGTCTCATTCATTTAATCGCTGTTGCTATGCCATTTCTCCTAATCGTACATAGTCCATACACACACATATATATGCTCAAGTTACGACTCAACGGAAGTAAACACACAACATGAGTAAGGGTTGTATATGAGTGTGCATTTATCGAGCTCACCAGAGACAATTCTAACGTCGTTATTTTATTGCTCGATCAAATTCAACTTATTGTCCAGCATGCAAAATAACGATCGTGTAGTGTTGGGTAGGAAAGAGGTAAACGAGATCGATTTTTCTCTTAGGAATAATCATTTTTCTACTAGAAAATAAAAGAATGCCAACGATTCTATAGTTTTGAATAAATAGAACAAGAAAAAACTCTTGATAATCTGGAAACATACACTTGCGTTTGTTGCACTCCGACTATTTCTAAACAAAAGAGAGAAAAAATGTAAGTTTTACAGAAAATAAATTGCAACACAGGTAGTACATTCTATAAAGAGGCACGGTATCTATAGAGAAATTAGTTGATGAAAGCCGAACAGAAAAAAAATCGATTACATGAATATTAATCGTCCTTAGATTTTTATTGAGATACTCCGATATATGCGACCTCGTCATACAAAGCTTCTATATAAGGAAGAAGGAAAAAATGCAAAAATGAAAGACCGTCGTGCTTTAAAGACATTTTTATTCTATCATAAAGCGATATTATTTCTATAAAAAGAACTTTTTTTTTTCTCTTATCTGATAAATTTTTCAATGATTAATAAATAATATTTATTCATTTTACAAGTCTCTCATAAAAAGCATCGTCTATTTTCAATAATGAAATCGAATCAATGCAATCATTTCACGTCTACAACGATTTAATTACTTATCATTAGTATAGATAGACACATAGATTGTTCAAGTACACTTGGATCAATGCTAGATTTTCAATGTGAATAATAAAATAGATACACGAAAACACGAATCAATAAAATTATTATATTCACAAGCTATTTTATTGCGCTCTAAAACGTCTTGTCGGTTTTCTGCTGTGAATTGTTGTTTCTTTTTCTATCGAACCTGATAATAATGGACATTTTGATTTTACATACTGATTTATTTTCTTTAAATATTTAACTTCTACTAATTTATTTATTATGAGTCTACGTTAAATAGTCGAAATGAGAATGAATAAACTGGAAGTTTATCTAAAAAAGCAAATATATTGTTTTTCTTAATTGCATTGAGTCTCTAGAGAAAAACATGCAATACAAAAAGAAAAGCTTCTGGAATAGATGATAAGCATATTTCTATTCATATCATTATTTTATAATGAAACGCAATGCTAAAAATAGCATGCGCTGGCTACTTTTATCTATTAGTGTGACATTAATGAGATATAATCAGATCTGAAATAAGCTTCAGTTAGGATATTATGTTTCTAGCTTGAGTATCTCGTCGTAATCCTTTGAATTCTTTTCTTTTTGTATTGATAAAGTATATTTACTATTTCCCAATGCTGCTTTATTTCTTAGTATTACACTGATCAAACAAGAATATAGTATAAATCAAATGGTGTCGTAATCAAATGTAGGCTAAAGCCGGTTGTCACCCTTGTACCCGTAAGAAAAGAAAAACATAATAATTACCACCATCGACATCATATTACATGAGTTACCTCAAAAAAAGTGTAGGCCACTGCCGTATAACCCACGATACTGTGATTACGTGACAAACCAAAAGTAATTTTAACTCCTACCATTTATGAATTGCATGTGGATAGATTATGTAATCATATTCCCAGGGTCAACGCTGGAATATAAAATAAGAAGTCGTTCATAATTGCATTTTTAATTACATGCCTATTTGTTCTACGATGAAAAGTTATATATATATATATATATGTGTGAAAATAGAAATTGTATTTTTTTTCGACGATAACAACATAAATTAATTCAATGTTGAACGTCTTCAATTATCTATGGTCTCTAGCATCATGCATTTTATTTGTTGTGACTACTGTGAAGCGATATTGATCAGTTATAATGAACGCTCCGATAGATTGATTTTGACTTTTTCTTATCAACCTCATAGAATAAAAAATTTCGCAGTCTATAGTACAGTATAGAGTAGAATAAACAACAACAAATGCTATTAATTTTAATTAAAATAGAAAGCTAATATTGATATTGACTATAGATTCTATATTTTGATTGTCTATCAGTCATTGACAGAATAAAATGGAGACGAGAAATAGAGGAATATTTAAAAAATACTGATATTAACAATATATATGTTCAGTTTTCAGCAAAAAGTACAAGATTTGAAACTAAATGCCGATTTAATTCACTTGGTATATATTAATACAATTGTAGTATCGATTTTGGTAAAAAAACGCAGATATCAGTGCAGTCTGTAACTCGATATTTCATTTTTCAAATACAAACAGATATATATTCTCTTATGAATTATAAATAGAAAATCATTGAATTTTGAACCTTGAATGATAGATCTATATAGTATTTTTTTAAAATGAAGATATGAATATCAAAGCAACCAACGATTTGTATCTATGTTTACTGATATGATCGATTTTGAAATAACGGGCAAGACAATTTTATTTTTTTTTGTAACAAGATTCAACCTTCGATTCTCTATGAAAATAATATAAAGATATACATCATAGAGATAAAAGCAAGACAAATAGTGACTCATGTATCCTTGCAGACGACAGTCCGAATCAACAACGTCCTAACATAGGATATAGTCATTTTGTGTTTATATTTGTCAATGTAGCAATATATAGAAAATATGTGAAGAACTTCGAAAGTTCTACTATATTGATATGTGAAAAAATTTTCATGGCAAGTCTAAAGACTAAATAAACATTATTTATTTTATACACAAAAATTCGTTTGTTTCTTATTCGATAAAGTTTCATTGTGAAAATAGAGACAGAGTTTTTCAAGCTATAAAGCACGATTGTCACAATATCTCTCTAGAGAACTTTCCTACACATTCGAAAGTTATCGATAGTGTGTATTGCATTTTTACTCTGCAGCATCTTTTTTTTAGATGTTTTTTTTTTATATAGAGAATCCAATTCTGAAAGTGCCTTGTTTTCATTTAATGAAAATTCCGTATTGCTAGTTATTACTTACTATTCGCGCAATAACCATCTTGATCTAGTCCATCGTTTATTTTGACGCTAGTTAGAATTTATGCCGAAACAGTAATCATAATGTTTTCTCGTCAAATTTTATCAATGCTTTTTAAAATTATTCAAACATATAGATCTGTTTAAAGAGCAGAACTAGCACTTGTTCGGATTTTAATCAATTGTGCGAGCTTGCCTTGGAAAAAATAACCGTGTTTAACATTGATTTGTAATCTCAGTTAATTTAACATTTGTTTAACACTTTAGCATTGTCTCGGTCTCAACAAGTATAACGACTTCATTACATTCTTGACATGATATATGTTCATTGACATTCATTAAATAGAATGTTTGCACTCACCCAATGGAATCTCATGTCAAACGATTGTCTTTATCGTCCCTAAATCTGACTGTATGACAACAGTTAAGACCTTTGTGCTTTGGCAAATTTATTTTCAATCATATTTATTTGATTATCAAGATGAACAATAAAGTTACAAAAAAAAACGAAGAAACCGGAATAGTCCATGATTCTAGTCGTTGGATTGATGTTGTGGATTGAATATACCATTTGCCAATTTTGGAAGATACTCCAATAAACCTATAGTCTAAAAATCCTAACTAAAAACAAACAGCCCTAGATCGTTACAATGTAACGCTTGCCTATTGCACTTATTACTTGATAATATTTTAAGAATTAATAAAAGTAATTCAACAGTAAAACAAACAATATTTCAATTTAAAATTCCTATTGCTAAAAAAATTAATTAATCTAATATCTGATATAATAATTCTACGAATAAACTACTTGAAAAAAAATTAAGAGCATCTTTTCCTGAAAATAAACATGATATAGACTACACAACAACATTTATTTTTCACTAAAGCATAGACAATAGGGTCACAATCATTTAGTTATAATGTTATGCGAAAACGAAATCATACGCTTGAGCTTAAAAAAATGAAGAGACAAGGACATAGGTGTGATTTATAGAAGTTTAAAAAAACGGGAAATCATATGCAACATGAATAGTACTTATAAATAAATAAATATATATCGATAGTAAAAACCGTGTAACATTAAAGAGGTGTGGGAACTTGGATATATATGGTTCTTAGATATAACTTAACATTTCTTAATCAAACTTTATCAAAACAAAATAACTTGAGTATATCTTCATTAAAATTTCTTCTACACTTGTATTAACATATAAAAGACAGACTCCTGACAGATATTCATCTCTATTCGAAAAACACAGAAAATGAAAACGGATACAATATTATTCTTTTGAATAATCATACAACAATGGGAAAAAATAAACCCAATGAATACATTCAACATGGAAGTCAGTGTTAGATAAATTTTCACATTATTAATAAAATCATTTTTTTCAAAATC